CTCGTCAGGCACCATTGTCTTTGCCAGTTGTTTGTCCTTTTGTGTAGCACACGTTTTCGGCAATTATGTGCGTAGGGTTGCGCTCAATGTTCAAAATCTTAGCATTTTCAATTTTGCTCAGACGTTCTCCTCAATACTTCTCACTTCATGAACATTTTAGCTGTCGTACAATTCCCGCTTTTGTGAAAGCATCATTGGCAGTAATTTGCGACTCACAAATTGGAATCGAAAACAAGGTGCGACTTTTCTTTTCTGTTAATGTTTTGACTAGAAGCTATTAAGTCAATGGTTTGCCATTATGCGAAATACACCCAACTAAAGGACGTGGAGATGGTGTAGCTGCAAGTGGCATCGCGTAGTACGTGTTCATTTTTTGCTGTGATCAAACGAACCTCCTTGTGAGGGACTAACTGAGATCGATAGTTCTCATTCCCTCAGTTTTTTGTTCTTTGTAAATGTGAGAGCTAAAACTTGACTTGTATGCCTGGTAGTTTCTCATGTGTAACTTGGATAGACCCGGGGTGCAATGAGCCAAATCTGCTCTCGCTTGTATCCATACTCCCTCATCACCTATTCTTTCCCTCCTACGTGCGCTCAGTATCTCTTATCTCGCTATCGGTCTCTTGGAACCCTCTGTAGCCTAGAGAGAAAGGGCCTCTATACTCAGATGTTTTTTTTTTGTTTTTTTTTTCAAACTTTGGTGCATTTCTCGTATTTTGAAGCAAAGTAAATATAGCTTTCGCATGCTTAAGGATGCAGATGCGAGAGTCTGAAAAGAGTGGTTGACTGGTGTGGATGTTCTCCGTTAGTATTCACAAAGGAGCACACTCATAAATTTGCTGTGAAGGTATGCATTTTTTCTCGTCTTCATAACCTCTTAAATAGTGAGGAATCACCTCTTAGAACGCAGTTGCGAAACCGTTCTACTTTGCGAGGAAATTCGAGAGTCTGGTTGACATTGATGCTATTGCTTTGGCTGAAGAACAAGCGATGCGAGATAGGTGAATGCTGTACTATTGATTAAATTTATCAAATAACTACTGGGCTTCACTTTTTACGCTTTTTCGGTTTTGATTGAGTTTTTGTTTAGATCGCCGCCCTCCTACACAAACGATGTGATGTTCAACGTTACCTTTGTGAATCACTACAAGGCTGACATTGACGGATACTGTATGTTCTTTCTCGAAGCTACTGTAACATTTTCGCTGATATCCCACCTATGAACGTTTTAAGCTGTGCCTTTTTCGCTGATGGCTGAGTCGCTTCTTTCTGTTCACTCAGATGAATCAGATTTCATTTCCCTATCTAGGATCGATGTTGTGAAAATGCACTCTTCTGCTCCACATCAAATGATCTTCACAATGCAGGTCATTCATTCTTTTCTACTACGTACTTTCTTTTTTTTACATAGTAACTGCCGTTGTTCCTTTGAAAGAATCACGCTGGCATCACTGCTTTATATAACTCCTAGGACTCACCATCTCCCTTTGTCCTTTTTTCTTCTTGATATCAATCAGTGGCTAACAGTTGGTTTACTTCGATTGCCTGGTTATTTGTTTGTAACTTCCTGGATGTTAGTTTCGGTGACCTGAACAAGGGTTTTGGGCCTAAAACATGGGCGACAAATGGCAGATTGAGGGAGCATCCTTTTCAGTAAGCATAAAGGATAAAGAAGGGTGCCTCGTTCTTTAAACCATGAGGGCTACTGCGGCGGCTGCTATCTACGGCCGTATCTCCGGCAAAATAGGGCGCTGTGTCGATTTCTGAAGCCCGACGCAACACAGTGGAATCTCTCTTTCCGGCTCCACTGTACGCGTAACTGTTGCGTGTTGTTGTGGCTTTTTTTCGATTAGCCACTTATTCTTACTCTCGCGAAGAATCTCGAAACGTTTGAGACTGCATGACGTTTCCATTGAGGGAATGGTGGGTCACTTTTAAATCTTCCGCGAGAAAAGGCTCCGCCTCCATGTACCCCTAGAAAAACGATTACCCCTTAGGCCCCTAGCCTCATGAGCATAGCAAAAAGAACGGAACATAAGTGTTAGTTTCGATAATACTAATCCTACACACAAGACAAAATGATCACTCTTTCCGTGGAAGATTCCTTCAAGGTATCGTTTTCTGTGGTAATGAGGCGGAGCTTTTCATGAGATTCCTATACCACTTCATCAACTCACCGTTCATCTGCCGCCCCACTACAACTTTTGGTTGAGCGGAAGTTGGTGTCAAACATAATCTCACCCGCAATTACAAATGGATTCAAGCTCGAGGTAAGGTGGCTTTTCAATTCTCGTTCACACCTTCCACAACTGTTTCAGTCGATTATGACAGGAAATGGATATTGACGGCACCAGAGATTTTCCGCGGAATCACTGCATATGCTGATTTGGTAGGTCTTTAGGGCTCATATTTTTTCTTGTTGAACATATGTGAACGCTCAAGCATCTTTTTTCAAGAAGTCATCACCCACTGTGGCTTTGCGGTGGAGTCGCGTTGCCGGCTTGGCGACTACCGTCAATGAAACAAAAACCAGTCCTGGCGTACGATTTACCTGGCGTGGTCCTGATCAGAAAGCAGTCGCCACTCAGAGGCTTCGTCCATACGATTCCATTCGAGGGATGCAATTTGCTTCATTGAATTTACAGAAACTCAACACCACAAATCTCAAACCAGGAATGTGGAATGTCGTCGTTCAAACCGGTAATTTGATGGTTATTTTTGTTTTGCAGTTATTATTATGTACCAGCTTTTCTCCGCATATAGCTGGTGTGTCGTGTGGTGCTTCAGCGGTATGGATAGGCTAACCGGAATTTTTGATTATGAATCTACTCAATTTGGCGCAAGCCCGCTCACTGCAAGCAGTTGTCATCCTAACTTTTGGCCACTTTTTTCTAACTGTTTTTGAGTCGCTTCGGAACTGAAATATGCTTCCGCTTATTCGTACACATTCCGTCCTTCTTCTGAGCCCATTCTGAAGGGAGAGCGATATTTATTTCAAGTTTGCTAAGCGAAGGCAAGAGCAAATTGTTATAGAGAGTGCTCAGTTCCATCAATTTTGCCTTCAAACTTTTTAATAAGCGAGCTTTTTATGGAATTTTCTTAATTAGTTTCGCCCATTTCGGTATCGCTCAGTCCATCACCGCTGGGTCTCTAGTCCGACCTGCCACATATTCACCTATTTTTCCTCGTCCGGCTGTTCCCGACATTGCGCTTTATTTATGAAAGAAATTATTCGTGCAAGTGGTGTTTTCTTTTGCAACTGAGTTCGTATACTAATTTATCTGTATTCTACGGATGACAGTCTCTCTGATATCATACGAATTTTTAAAAGTCTCTTGACGCCCATTTTCTTTTTTCATTTCTGTTTCAGACGTTGAAGGATCTTCGGAGATTTTGGCAAATGTATGGTTCCCTGTTTATTCTACAGAGGATGGAGCACTCTTTCGTTCACTTGTTCGTGACTTTTTTACTGTCAAAGATAGCTGCAGCACGAACTGTTCGTCAACAACTTGGAGTACTTTCCATCCTGATCCAAAGTCCGACATTTTAGTTGGTTATGACAAAGTTACCCAGACCCTGGTGTAATTATCCAATAGTACATCTCTGCCAGATTTTAGCCAGTTTGATTATCGTCTCTTTGATTATTGGGTAATAATTTCTGTATCAGTTGCTCGTTATTGTTCAGGAACTGCCACTCTTTCATTCGTGGTTTTATTCTCACTTAACCACTGAAGTTTTCAACGGCCAAACACGTTTGGCTATGCTTCAGTTTTCATAGCGCACTTGCATTTTTATTTCCTGTTTCATGTTTTCATATTTTCTTTCACTTTCACGCCATAATACTCTTTCATCATTCTGCCCAAACTCGGTTTCATTATATTCTTTGTTCACTCGAAGATTTCACTTTGCATATGCCTTATAATGAATTAATCCGGTGAAATGTTGTCAGATGGTTCATAAATCTTTTTAAAAAAGGTTATTCTTTGCATTTAGTGGAACGTTGCCATCGTAAGGACGTACATGGTCAGTGTTGGGTAATAATGTGTTGAAACAGAATATAAGTAGATCATGTTGACGTTTGTTCTCTCACACTTAGGTTCTTTTGGACTCCTAGTGTGCATGGAACGAAAAGCATTGCGCTTTTTGCTCGGTCAGTTAGTGCGCTCAGCACATCGGGTCATTCGTGGAGATGCCGCTGCTATTGGGGAAACTGTATCTCTCGTTGGCTCAGTGAACGAATCAATGGTTGGTGAGTATTTATAAATACGCATGCTAAAACTACTTAATAATTGTAAATTTTCTAGGGGGAAGTGGTGTAGTGACAAGTGGCGCGCTTACCACGCGAGCGGTCCGGGATCAAATCCTGGGTCGTGAGTCGCCCGGGCCAACCAAGCCTTCCATCCCTCCGGGGTCGGTTAATTGGTACCAGACTTGTCTGGGAGGATAAAAAACACTGACTGACTTGTACATCGGCTGGCCCCCGCAAGTCATTGTATAGGCCACATCGCATTCAAACGCCACTGCGAATGTACAAATGGAAGTAGAATGCGTGCCGCATCCCAAAAAGGATTGATTTAAGCAAATGCTTTAGCCTTACCTTGAAAGATCTGTTCCATTCGGACTGGCCTAGGTCATTCAGAGGTACGGCAGATATTTGATCGAGTGAAACTTCTTTCTTTTGTGCTTCTACTATCATAAAAAAGAAAAGGGGAATGATATACAGTATCGGCAATGCAGTTGGTGAAGTATACCGCTAGAAATAACATGAGCCAGAGGATGGCCTACATTGCGACATGACTCAAAAGTATTTAGGCGACATTTCGCATTGATCCATGTACGTTGATCATTCGAAACTCCCAATTTGATTTTATTATTATTGGTGGAAGGAATGAAATAGCTAATTGCGAAAGAAAAGATTGAAAGATTCCCCGCGCTGATTCATGACGTTGTCTTCATACATTGAAGTGGTTCCCAAACCAGGCCACCTAGCGAATCCAACAAAACGAGAGCGATATTCTCAGAAAACGGAGTTCGGGCTTTGGTTGAGCTGGTGCTTCCTGGCTGCGAGGCAGCCATCAGACGTGCCGCATGTTGTTGTCGCAGTGGACTCTGATCCATGACGATTGTAGGAAGCCTATGCTTGGCCGGGTCCTTGTCAGAACATGATTTTCCCCAGATAATAGGTGTCGCCCGTTCATGGTCGGCAGACGAAGGTTTCCATCAAGCTTATTTGCAGCAGTCTTTTCATAATGATCGTGTGTGTTGGTGCTTTGGCTGCGCCCAGGATCTGCCGCAATACTTAGGTGGCATGTACGGAACCCTCCTTTCGTGGGAAGGGAGCCAGCGAAATAAGGTTGATCGGGAAAATGCCCCCCCCCCCCCCCCCCCCCCCCCCCCCCCCCCCCCCCCCCCCCCCCCCCCCCCCCCCCCCCCCCCCCCCCCCCCCCCCCCCCCCCCCCCCCCCCCCCCCCCCCCCCCCCCCCCCCCCCCCCCCCCCCCCCCCCCCCCCCACCCCCCCCCCCCCCCCCCCCCACCCCCCCCCCCCCACCCCCCCACCCCCCCCTGCACTGCAGAGATGAGCGCCTTCCGTAACAATGCTACCAGAGTTATTCGGCAGATCCGGCGCAGCAGACGCCGACACATCACCACACAGTAGGAAGATCCCGAATGGAAGGCTTTAGGAAAACCCGGCGGAGAGCTTCTATGTGTGTTGTCTTCGGCACCGGCCCGCCGCGCCGACCGCGCCGGTGGTTAAGTGGCAGGCCCAGTATGAGGTTGAAGTTCATAGCTCGTTTCGTCTTTGCCGTTGCGATTGGACCACTAGCTCAGTACCCTATCAGTAGCAGAGACTGGGTCAAACACAGCGCTGATCTTCTCTGTTGTCCTCCTTGCTACAGAGTTCATTTGAGGATCGTAAAGCATAATCATTCATTATAGTCACTGACCTATTTTTATTCCTAGTTGATTAACCCGTTACGGGCTTGCGTTTCCGAAACCATGCTGTTAAGGCTCTTGAAGCATACTTCAACATACTAACGTATTTCGCAATGAAACGGTCTTAGACGGAAGAAATTTGAAATTTGAATAGAAATGACAACCCAATATCTTCAAGCTCTCGAAAGATCAAAGTTCTGAGAATTTTTTTTTCTCACTTGACAAACATTCCTCGTCTATGCTCATTGTGTCCCTTCTAACGCTGTCTCATATGGCGTATGTAATAAATAAATGTGTTGCTTTTAGGGGAGCTGCCTCCGGTGGATTTATGCGCAGCTCAAATGTCTCCCGTTCTCTATGGACTTTTGTATGAGTGTCCCAATTTGCACTGCTCGGTCTTTGGATTCAGTCGCTCTGGGGAGAAGATTCCTTTACACGATCATCCCACCATGCATGGATTTGTTACGGTTTTGAGAGGAGCGCTCAAGGTTTGCATTTGAGATTTGTAATTTCGTTTTCACGCCGAAGTGCTTATAAGTCTTGCGCAAATTAGGGCTCTGTTAGGTGAAGTCGTTCTCCTTCCTGGATGCTACAGGGAAACACTGGTCAGGTCGAACCAAGGTGCGCTACGAAGGAGAGCGAACAGTGAGACAAGGAGATGGATGCGTGCATTTAAATCCGGTGAAAGGTGATGCATCTGTGATTGACGTCCTGATATTTACGCTCCGACTTGCATACTCCCCAATCACGCTCGTATATTCTTAATTTTTTCCAGTTCTTATCATAACAAATTAAGAGTCTTCCTGCTATGAATATTTGCTTTTTCTAGACAGGCTAGAGTTGGAGTTTACTCCACTCTGAAAGATCTTTTGTTCAGGTAACATCCACGAAATTACTGCGCTAGAAGACGGGTCATTTTTCTTCGATATCTTAGTGCCGGGATATGGGGACTCAATCCCATGTACTTACTTTGAGGCACCTGAGGTTTGTCTTCTGGCTTTTTATGATTTTTCAAATAACAATATTCTTGCTATTGTAGAGCTTGCCTTCCGTCCGGTCGAGAATGCTCTCTCAAAGAGATTCCATGTCCTTCTAGTTACTTTTGCTACACCGTGCCTTTGGAAAGGGTAAAGGAACTTTGAGTCTGATATGCGTCGTATTACCTATCTTGTATAACGACATTACCAGTTGCACATGTTTTCATGTTCTTTCACTATCGTTATCGTACTAAAATCACCAACTAATTCGGGTGTGGGTACTTAGGACAGAACGCGACTTTTTCGCTCTTCGCAACGCGACATCGCGCGGCAGGCTGGCGCACCCGCAGCGAAAACAACTACGGTATGGAAGAACGCGCGATTGGAGCGCGATATTTGTGTCGGCTTTGATTGCGACAAGGAGTTTGAAGCTTAATAGCCATGGATTTGATAATGAACGAGGAAATGGTAACCAGAAGTGGACCGCTAACTAGCAGTGAAGAGGGAGGTAGGTTATTTTTGCAGAGATGGATGGTAGAGCTTCTGGAGAACCTGGAAGAGGAATGGTTGATGGACGTTTGATGAGACGACTGTAAACTTATAACTTTGCTATAATGTGCTTATT